AACCTCTCCAGGCAGCTCAGGTGGTGGAAATGCGTTGGAAGGTGGGACACACAATTCTTCTTCAGTCCTCACTGCCAGCAGAGTGACTTCTCTAGTGGCAACTGCTCAGCAGGCTTCTGGCCCTGCTCTTTGATCATCATGATGCTTCAGGACTTCTAATTTACCAGCCTGAATTATGGAAGAACCTGAAACATTACTAGTGTGCTATGCAAGGGAGTGCCAGAGGAGACAGTACAGCATTAGGAAGGAGAAATAACCCTCTCTGCTCTCCAAGAAACTGTCCACTGGCTTAAACAACAGAGAAGCCAACTATAGCGTGAAGGCATGAGCCCTGCCTTAAGATTCAAAACTTCTGGGGAAATACCCTAGACACTTGCCATCTCCTCCTACTGATTCTGAAAATAAAAACCTAACATTTTTGAATATAAAATCATCATCATTTCATCAACCAGTTTCTGACCATCAACATCAACTGCAGCTTTAAAGAGAGTAGCAGAGAAGTGTGGATTGCTTGTGGAACATTTCCTCATCATCCCCTGTTGCTCTTCTCCTTGCATTGCTGGAGTTTTTTTTCTTCCTCCACTGCTAGATAGGGAAACAGAAAGCTCCCCATGTGTAAGAGAATTTTACTTACAATGGCTTTCAGACACCCAAACACCCCAGACACCTGTCTCCCAGCCTGAGCAGCTAAGAAAGATGAGCCTTACTGTCTGTGGGAGCTCAGTGCTAGAGAAGTGGGAAGAAAATCCAGGTCAGAATGCCATAATGTCACTTCACAAAGAAATCTGACCATGCTGAGACAGCCACCCCTCCCACCCCTATTTGTAACCCTCTCTGCTGATTTTGTCTGCCATTTAGCAGCAAAACTGACACTAAATGCAAGGTTTCGCACAATCAGCGTTGTCTGCATCTGGAATAGGAGCATGGTCAGACAGACAGTGATATTTCTACTGTTGTATAACCTGGGATTTTAGAATGACCCTGTGCAACTTCTTAAATCTCAAAAGCTTCCCAGCATCACACCTAAGTTCAGATAGGTACAGTGGGTGTGAAGCTGAGATGTGTCTTTCCACACCCATTATTCAGAGTGCCTGTTACTGCTGACACCATACAAGACAAGGTGGTTCTTGCTTACTCAGTGGTACTCAAGCTTCACTTTGGGCTGGCATGTCTCGCACATCCCAGAGGGTCGTGCACTCTCTCATGCTTATTCAAGTATGCCTATTACCTGAGTCATGTGGAAGAAAGGAGGAGTGCACCCAAATTCACGCCTCCTTTTCCGAAGGCTGCACAGGACAGAGCTTGTGATCCTGTGGTTAGAAAATATGCATTGCAAAGGCTTCATGCACATGAGAGGAAGGCTGGAAAATGTGCATGAGATGTGAGCTTACAAGATACTGGGCTCTTTGCTCATCCTCTCAGCCAACTCTGCTTGCCCAAAGCTCTTGCTCTACCTCAGGGATTGCATGATCAGTAGGTCCAGTTCTTCCAGGGCAGTTTATACTCTCCATCTCCCTGTGCAGTTGTTGAAGCTAAATTACTCACTATAGAGGCTGACACAAAGGCAAGGCCTCTGGCTGGCCAAGACTTCAAGCAATATGAATTTAAAGGCATGAGGAGGAGGAGTGGAAGGAGGAGGGGCTGTGTTCTTAGATTACAGTTGCCTCTGACCCAAGGTCCTGAGCCAAGAGGATTGTCAAGATTAGAAACATTATCTGCATTCAAATCCCACTAGCATTATGGAATCAGAAAATACTGTAAGGGGATATATAAATGCTTGATACTGTAATGAGTAGGGGGCAACTAGCCAAACTACTGTGCCTCTGGCATACTCCATGTTTTGCTGCCATATGGGGTTGAAGTATAGGTATGGGAACATATCTTCACCTACGCACTGGTCAGACTCACCTGCTGCAGTGGAAAGCAGGGAAAGCAAGGCACTGCATAGCTGGCACTTTCAAAAGCCACCACACAGGTACTGACACCCTGCAAAGGTCTCCTGCCCCCAGGAACTGCCACAGTAGAAAGAGCTAAAGAGAGTCTCATGTTACACAAAGAGTTCCCTGTTGTGAGACACTGCTCTGAGGAGGAGCACAGGCTGTACTGCTTTCCTCATTGCCTCATTAGCATGAAGGTCTCAGCAGAGGAGCCAGGGTGCCTGCTTGGCTCCCGGCTCTGTCCCCTCATACAAACATAACCCACAGGCACACATACACCCTGTACACGTGCATGCTCCTATATACACACACTGTTGCACATCTCTCAGGATGAGCCTCTTCAGAGGGACATCTCTAAACATTCGTATCCACAATACATACACCTCCAAGAGACAGTCTTGCTAGACACAGTCACACAAGCCCTGCCACACCAATGGGCACTCCTCCAGCATTACTGTGGCCATTTTTGACTACTGAGCACTCTCAGAGTCTCATACAAAGAGGCTTTCATCACATCACCCATGTTTTCTTGACACAGTTACTCTTTCCCAGCAAGATCACAGCTACGTGGCTACACCCACACCTCTCCAAACTTACCTCATGTGAGCTGCATACTGACATACATGACTCCTGATCAATGCCTCCTCTCTTGCAATCAACCCAACCACTTGTTTGTAGCAGGTGTTGCAGCTTTTCTGCACATTTCTGACCTTCAAACACCCACAAGAAACCTTACCCATCTTCTGTGTGCAGAGGTCAAGAACTATTCAGCTTAAACTGCCCTGACTTTGTCTGGCACATGGCTGACATAACTCTGAGCAGCTAGATAAGTATCAACTGGAGTGGACATGACTGAACAAGTCTTCTTCCCTTGGGCTTTCTGTGTTTTACCTCTGGTCACAGAGCAGCCAGAGCTTCAAGCATTGACTCTGAGGAACCTCTTGCTGGTGTGCACAACTGCCAACAAGCATGCTGACAATGTCCCAGAAAGGTGATGATCCTACAGGCTCCATCCCCTTGTCTAGGAAAGACAGATACCTGTAATGGGGGATCTTCCCTCACCATCTTGCTTGGAGATGTCTAGAGAACTCACAAGAGATGTCCATCTCTCACAGCAATATTGGGTGCCAACTGCTCTCAGGTGCTCTGAGATGTACAGCCGTGGCCTGAGCCAGGAGATGGGATGCCAGACCAGTCAAACTAGTGCTCAGATGCCTCATCATTGGATATGCAAACATGAATCAGTGCTCTGCCCCATTCAGGCAGTGTCCATGGCACAGGCCCTGAACGTGCAACCTTACCTTTGTTTTAAAGCACTGGTAAAGAGCAAGGAAAGAGCATTGAGATGCCTGTTTCCTGTGTAACAGAAACACTCCTTTTGCTTCACATGGTGTTCCCTTAAGGACAACAGGGCAGATAACCACAGGGGGTTCAAGGCTACAGTGTTGCTGTGGGGGTTGATGGAGACTATGTCCTCCTGGAGGGCTTTGGGACAGGCCTGGGGATGTGTGTTTGTTGGAAGGAAGGAAACAACCACATTCTTCATCATTCCCCTTTGCTCAAGCAAGGTCCTGAGACCTGATCATCAGGGTGTCTGTCACCATCCTCCAGAATTTCGAGGACAGGCTGGGTGCTGACAGCACAGGGAGCTGGCCGGCCCCATGACGCCCCATCGCACAGGCGAGGTAGCTGCCCCACCACTTTTGCTCCCCAACACCTTTAATTGCTGCTCACTCTCACAGTGGCCGGGCACAGGCAGAAGCTATTTATAGCAGGGGAGCCACGGGGCCACACGGCTGCGGTGGCAGCGCCGCTGGGTGACATTCATACTGGCTTTGACTCTGGGGCAAGCGCTAAAATGGGTCGGGCAGGGGGGCTTCCTCATAAATCAGCCCTCTATATCTCTGGCCATGGATTTCATCTTCCCCTCTCCTTCCGCCGAGCACTGGCAGCTGTGCCCTAATAGGGACATTCCTATCCCAGAGACCCCTGACCCCTCATCTTCATCATCCCCCACTCTCCGACGGGGTTGGGAGGAGGAATAGCAAGAAGACCAAGGCATTCATGGATCAGGAAGGGAGAGGGAGCAGGAAGAGGCTCTTACAGCTGCTTGGTGGTCTCAGAGCATCATTATCACCTTGTATGGTCTGTAGCATGCTTGCAGTGGGGCTGTCAGTCACCTGGTGCTTAAGTGGACCCATTTTCCAGGGTCACTGCATCTCTAGGAGCCTGTCTGGAATTCACAGGGTCTCACTCGGAGCTGCTCCCACCATGGGGCCCTTGCAGAGCTTCTCTCCTTTCCTCACATATCTATTTTCACAAAACAGGCAGGAACTCGATATCTTCAAGAGGCCCCTTCGTCAAAAATGGTGGGAACCACAGCAGTGGTTTAGAGAAGCTGTGAGAGGTAAACACGAGTATGGCTGGGATTAGATGCATTTCTTTAGCAAAAAGAGGGGACCAGGATCTGGGGGGCTACTGAAGCCTGGACAGGAGACATGACTTCAATTATTTCATAGGAAAGTGAGCCTGTTTGGCCACCCCATTGCATGCATGAAGGAAACATGATGCTGTAGTATCCTGCATCCCATCCAGCTTGCATCCACTGCTGCCTGGCACCATGCACTTCAAGAGTTAAAATGTTGGTGATGCCCCCACATTGCACTACCCTGAAGGAGGCCAATAAGGCACCAAGGAGGAAACAGCTTTTGCTTTGTGTCAGTAGCACTAGCACAGGTCTTTTTCTTCCAGCCATGCCCACTGCTTTAGTGTCTCTGATTCAGTCAGGAGCCTTCTCCCAATGCCAGTCTCAAACAGCTGTGAACAGCATGTGGTAGTGCCAGCAAATCCCTGCTGCAACACAATGGGAAGAAACCCAACCCTTGTGACCTCTGGTTATCTCAGCAGAGAGGCAGCATGTGACACATCCCACTCACTGGTGCTGTTCAAAAGCAGAATATAGGTCACTTGTGTCTGTCATGCCATGCTAGTGGGGCATGATGCCCTTTAGCTACCCTGTGGTGTCAATGCTGCTAATGTTGGGCTCTCTAATTCCTCCCACAGCTGGCAGCTCAGGTCCTGGAGCCCAGAAGCATTGGTTTTGGGATGGTGGACTCCAAGAAGGATGCCAAACTTGCCAAAAGATTAGGTGAGTCCCATGTCTGATATTTCTGGAATAGCTTGGAGAGGCTGTGGGAGTGATGTCCAACAGCCAGCAACATAGAGGGCAGCCAAATCCTTGTTACCAGGATAGGGAGGATGTTGGTGGCACTTGCACACTGACCACCTGCCCACCTCATCAAGGGCAGGATCAAGTAGAGGGGTAGGGGTGAGGATGAGAGGGATGAACCCAGAAAGATCCTTTCAGCAAAAACCTTGTTGTCTGAGAGTACCAAAACCAAACCAAATCAAGTTGAAAAGAAAGGCAATTTTTGCTGTAATGATGACAAGGTGTAAGCTCACAGCTTGCTGTGCAGGAACAGTAAATAGATGCTATGGAGTAACTTCATGCTCTTCCTACATAGAGACATAACTGATACAGCGGTGCAGAATCAGAACATACAGGGAAATAACATAGGTCTCCAAATGTCACCCGCCCCATGGCAGGGTGATCTCTGTCAACAAAAGGGGGAGCCACAGCCTTGCAATGGTTTGGCAGCCAGGTGCCAAACTGTTCTGCTTTGCTCCCCAGAGCAAAAGAGGAAACTTTTTCTAAAGGTGGAAAGATGCTGCACTGCCCAAGCCTGGACACAGCTGCCTTACAGGGACTGACAATCCCTTCATATTTTAGCCCACAAAACAATATGGAAATACTATGGCACATAAATAAAACAGCACAAAAACATACCACTAGGCTTAATGTCAGAGACTGTTTAGACATACCAGAGTGTAATTTTCTTTCCTAAATTAGAGGCTGTGTGTGGTAGTGGGAGCTCAGCTAAAGACAAGAGCTTCTGCTCCTCTGAGAAGAAACAAACCACCAACCACCTTGACCTGTGGTACTCTGCTGTCCTGCATTACAGGAGGCCAGTGCTGCTGATTTTGGAGCCTCCAATGAAGTGCAGTGGCACTCAGTCCTCAGTGCAGTGATATTGCATTCACATCTGCCTCCTCCTGTCTGTGCCATTTCTCCCATTGTTTTCTAACCCTTTTGTCAAGGCCAGATAAGCCTCAGACAGTTTGAAGCTCACTTTTAGATCACTGTTGATGTTCATACAGTCCAGCCTTCTCCAGACAGTGAGCACAACCCTCATGAAAATCCATTTTCCATAGTGAGAAGTTGTTAAAATCTGAGCTGCCAGTTAGAGCCCAGTATATACTGTAAGATAGATAGCCAAGATAAAACAAGTTCCTGGTACAGAATTTTTCCAGATGAGGTCAAACTGTGACCTGAATGAAAAGTTCAACATTTGGGAAGAAGTTAGCCCCAGTTCTGGCTGAGGTCTGTTCCCGTGCCATCAGTCAGGAGATTGCTCAGGTTGTTTCTAAGTAGACCAACACAATTAACTGGCAACTGCATTTTCCCAGACAGCATTGCTGGAATAACAAGCAAGATACTCTGCAGTAAAAATGTTTTTAGTGACACATTAACCATGTTATGTTTCCTGTCTCCTTCTTTCAGGCTTGCTTGAAGAGGGAAGTCTCTATGTCTTTAAGGATGAGCGGTTGATCGAATTTGATGGGGAACTGGCCACAGATGTCTTGGTGGAATTCCTCTTGGATGTAAGTACAGATAAGCTCAGAGCTAGATAAAGCCTCTCAGAGAAGACCTTGCAAATACTGAGTTTGCTAAAAAACACAAGTGTATCTTTGTTTGAAACGCCATCTGTTTGCTACTCGCTGGTAGAGATGGCATTTGCCATCTTCCCCAATACTTGTCTGACCATTAGTTCACAGCAAAACTAGTATCTTTATATGCTACCAACCTCTTATGTCTTGGAGATATTATGCCCTCTTTCTTGTTTATGGAGTATTTGAATGGAAGTCAGCAACAATCCCACATAACTGACTGCTGATCACCCACCTCAGTCAGCAAGCTGGTGTGCAAACACTTTGCCATTTGCAAAGTCTTCCACACTATTTTATTTTTTAAAGAAAAGTTATTTTCAAAAAAGGAGTATCCAAGAAGTAGGATTCTTATAGAGCAACTAAAAAGAGCATTGAAAAGGCCTTATGCTGCAAACTATTTTCCCATTTCTAGACACATGCAACATAATATCTCTTCAGGCAACTTCCCAAATTGCACTGCCGTGAGTGAGAGAAGGTCAAGGCCCTAGGACTAAGTGCCCTTGGGTCATTTCGTGCATGGGCACAATGATGTACTCACCTTTGTGCCTAAATGAAAAAAAGATGCTGGATCCCCCATATACATGTTACACTTCTCTTTTTTTACATTTTATTCCTAGGAAAGGCAACAGCCCAAAACCATGGTCTTTGCTTTGTAATGAAAACATTTTGTGGTGGTTTGGCTTTCCTTTGAAATGAGACTCCTTTATAAGCAGCCATGCAGTAAAGCAGATAAGGGAGGTAAGGCGAGCAGTGGAGCTGTCAGTGTTTGTTTTCCAGAGTGGCAGGTTGCCTACATAGTCACCTGTGGTGCAGGACTGCTGATGAGAAGAAGCACAGCCAGGGAAGAGAAACAGATACCTAGAACCTCAGCTCTTCTGTGACAATGTCTGTGGCTGCATGCATCAGGCATTGTGGCCAAAACACATGCTAGTGGATTCAGGGACAGAAATGGGCATCTGCCCCACTCAGGAGGGCCACAGACAGGTCAGGGCTTTGCCATGACCCCACAGCAGTGGGATCCCTGGTTCCCATGGCTCAGGCCACTGTGGTAGCAGGAAACTGCACATACTGCTGTGGGTGCAGCAGAGGCACAGCCTCATGTCAGAGCATCGCTCACAAGGAGTGCAGTGTAAGGTGCTTGATGAGGTTTTGCTTGATATACCTTGTGGTGTGACACTGAAAAATCATGTTCTGTGAAAAAGAAGAGACCAAGGATTTCTATTTGGGCATTTTCCACTCAAGAGGAAAAGTACTTGGCAGGGTAATATCAGGTAAAGCAGGGAAATAAAACCAAACACATTTGTGATGCCTCAGCAGCCTGATCTGAAACCTGAGGTTCTCTCTGAACCAGAGGTTCTCTCCTCCTCTGTAGGCTGTAAAGTGGCCTGTCTGTTTTTTCTTTTCCTCTAGCGAAAATGTACTTGATTTATACCAGTATTATTGGGCAAAATAATCAGACTGAATCTTTTCACTGGCAGGGACTAGCTAAGAAAACAGAAACAAAGTCTGAATCAATGGCAGGCTAAAGTGCCAGATAGGTCTTCCAAATTCCTCATCAACACTGTGATGTGTGTGGGGCCAAAGCCTGGGTTTAAACCATTCTTCATAGGAACATCAGCCAGGAAAATTCACATCCAGACTTCCCGCTGCTCCAAACCTCTGTTTGGCCACCCTCTAGTGTGCTGGTTTTAATGTTTTTCAAAAGCAAGTTCTTTGCAATGAACTCTTTCACCAAATGACACTTGAAAACAGGTATATATAGATGTAGGTATATATGTATCACTTACAGAAGCTCACAGTGTTCATACCAGCTCCTTTCAACTGCTCTTCCTTCTTCTCAACCTCCCTAAAACCAGCTGCAATTGCTACCCCTCATCTCTCATCACAGCAGGTCTCTCAGCATCCATTCAGGTTACCCTGTCCTCTATCAACCTCCCCCTGGATGCTTTCACCTACGCAGGGAACCTACTAACGTCTCCCTTTGAAGGTGACCTGCATCTCTCGGTTCCTCACATTAAGGCAGAGAGCACTAATTAGGGTTTCCAACAGCGAAGAAATTGGGTGACCCCTTTCTCCTCACTTAGGCTGCTTGTGACCCACCCTGCCAGGCGTAGGTTGGTGCTGCAAATCACTGTGCTATCACATGCATTTGTCATGGCAGTTGCTAGAAGACCCCGTGGAGGTCATAAACAGCAAGCTGGAGCTTCAGGCCTTTGACCAGATCGATGATGAAATCAAACTCATCGGCTACTTTAAAGGAGAAGACTCTGAACGTAAGATGAATATGTTCCTGTGGGGCTTAGAGCCTGGCTGGGGGCTCAGGGGGCTGGCATTGGTTGTTCTGCATGAACATTAAGGGTATTAGGGGTATACGGCAGGGTGCGACAATGTGAAAATTGATGGAGGATGAGGTGGGGTTGCAGACAAGTTTCTGCTGGTGTTAGGTATGAGCCCATTCCTACACCAACAGCCACGACCCTTCTACAAGGAGTCTGTTGGTAAGATAAGAGGGCCATAATCCAGGGCTCCTAAAGTAAAGTAAGTTTACCTCACCCAAAATCAGCTGAGATTACAGTTACAGTGGGTAAGGAAATTCAGTAATAAGTACTTCGAAGAGAAGTGGGAAAAGCCTGTTATAAAGATCTCCTGCCAGGCTGGAACCCAGCACTGTGCTGTTAGGAGTAACAGTAAAAACATACCTTGTTCCTGTACCTTGTTTCCTCTCCTCCTGCAGCAGGACAAGCATGCCTAATAATGCTTGGTGACTGCTTAGGGAATGGCGGCAATCATTAATGCTGGAGCAATTCCACGTATTTCCCTCTGGACCTGCTTGATGGTGCTGCTGATTTCAGCCACAGTTAATTCTGGAGTGCTGGGATCTGTAGTTTTCCTGAGCACTGTGGAGCTGTGCAGCGTGTTGCTCCACTTGAAATGGTCCTTCTGTATAAAACCTGAAAGGGTGGAAGAAACATAGGGCTGTCATCTGTTGGAGTTTGCAATAATTTATATTTGTTTTTCCCTGATGCCTTCTGTGCTGATCAAACTGTGGTCAGCTGTCTGTGAAATATCTTCTTCATTCCCCTTTTCTCCTTCCAGATTTCAAGGCATTTGAAGAAGCTGCTGAACAATTCCAGCCGTACATCAAATTCTTTGCTACTTTTGACAAAGGGGTAAGCACCCACAGACCTAAATGGGAGCTCATAGGTGCCACCACTTGTTTTCTGAGAGCTCAGGATGTTCCCAGATTTATTATCTGGCTCCAGCTTCTCGTTTTCAGTGTTCCTGTATTTTGTGGTATTCGTGTCCACATTGGGATTTGGCTCTGTCACAAGATAAAAGGCATTTCTGCAGCATGGAAGGACATCCTGATATGGGTTTGACCTCCATTAGGTCTGCGGGACCTTGAGTCTGGCTTTGCTCTACTCCAGTGCTTGACACCAGTAGTGGAGAGAGCATCAGTGGGTTTTTATCCAAGGAAAGATCCATTCTGTTTTGTGAGCTATCCCTAGGAGTGCACTCTGAGGTAGAACAAGCACCTTGATCTCAGCTCTGACACTAGGAGAGACTCTGGGTAGGCAAAGAGGTACATCAGGCTCCCTCACCTCTGACTATCTGCACTGTAATAGGTTGCCAAGAAGCTAGGTCTGAAGATGAATGAGGTGGACTTCTATGAACCATTTATGGATGAGCCTGTTCACATCCCTGATAAGCCTTACACAGAAGAGGAGCTGGTTGAATTTGTGAGAGAGCACAGAAGGTAGGTAGTGTACAGGATGCTCCTGGACAAGGAAGGTGAGTAAAGGTGTCTGTCATTGCAACCTTGCCTTTCTAGGGCAACCCTCTCAGAAAAAATCAGCATGACAACCACCTTTTCCATGATTTGCTGACCCAGGTTGGAGACTGTGGCTGGTTTTTCACTAGTCCCAGAGGTAAAAGTATCTGTGTAGCAATTATAGCTCACTACAATGGGGCTGTGACTAACTCCCTAGTTAGTCCTCCTCCGAAAAGCTGGGAGTCTTGAAAGCAGTGGAGAGTGGAAACCTTGGCCTACTTTCCATGCTTTCTATTTAGGTCTATATAGAAGATAATCTTCTTCAAGGCCTCTCAAGTCAAATTCAAATCTGTCCAGTCCCATCCTTCCCCAAAACAGCTTCATTAATGGCTATATTCCTCTCCTAATGTCAGGTATATTTGGAGGCAGGCTCTGAGCTTAGACCAAGCTCGGAGGAACTGTGATGGGCTAAGAGACTCCTACTGACAAAGGACATGGAGAGGCAGCCACTGCTGTCATGGCTGTGTTGAGCCTCATATGGCAACGGTGCTGAGCACCTACAGTGTTTGATCAACCCAGCAGGAGCTGTGGATGCTCCATGCTTTTTGCAATCAGGTTTATTGCACAGTTATTCAGCGACTCAGCTACCAATGTTTTGGAAGTCACCAGAGAGGCTGATCCTGTGTAAAAGGGTGAGGTTAAATATACAGGCAAAGCTACCGATAAGGTGCTGTGTTTTTACACCCTTAAAAACACCACGCAGGATAATGGCACAGTTAACCTGCTGCTCCTGCAATAGCATTTCCCAGCAGATGTCCAAGGGACCAGGCCAGAGTTTCAGGAAAGCAGGACCATTGATATAGAGGGGGATCTCAAACTGGGCTCAGCTGGAGGTTTGTGTTCAACCACGGAGGGTTTAGAGACAGAAGATCATCTCTGGAATCCACAACTCACCAGACTTGGAAACAGAGCTCTTCTTTTTCTGAAACATGAAAGGCTCCTCTATCTCCCATGTACTTGCAATTCACTTTGCTGACCTCCAAGACTTGTTGACCTCAGTCCTTCGCATCTTTTTTTTCCAAGCTCTTTCTGTCAAGCAGTAGCATCAGGAGGCTGATTAAGCACAGTCAGCTACATGCTAGCCTAATAAGGCAAGCTCTCCACCAGCACAAAATTGCAGCGGAATGCCCCAAGTCTTACATATTTCAAGATGCTATGTGGTCCTTGCTAGGATCAAGGGGGTGGGCCATGCATTTTGCAAGTGCCAAGGCTCAGAAGAGAATTAAAAGGAGTCCTGTGAAATCGGATGCCTGAAATCCCAAACCCACCAAGGTGTTGCTGTGGCAGGGGAGGAACCCTGGGGTGACAGTGATATGTTCCTAGCAGTTAATGCTGAGTGTCTCAGAGCAAAAATACTTCTTCCTGCCTTGCCACCAGTAAAGGACCTAAAGTCACAGATGGGAATTAGTCAGACATGGAGGTGATCAGACCTGTAGACTAAAACGAAGTAACCTCAGCAGCTGCCACATGCTGGTTCCCTGTAGGCAACTTGGCAGGGTATTCTCTGCAGGAAGGTATAGAGGACCATTGGCCTCCTCCCCCTCACACAACCGATTTTCTCACTTCATAGGCATAGACTGACCCTCTTCTGAGGTGCAACACCCCTCTGCCACCTCTCCATCCCACTAAAGGAGCCATGTCACATCAATGGGGAAAACTACTACTAGTCAGCATCATCCAGGCTCTTTGTCATGCCTTAAAGAGCCCTTACAAAAATTGATCCCCACTACTGTGCCCAGGCAGGCTTCACTACCACTTCTTCCAGAAACTGGGATTTGCTGTGCTTCCATTGCAGCCTCAAGACAGGATCTGAAGCAGGTACCCAGGAGGAGCCCACACACAGCCTCCCAGCTGAGGCGTCTTCAGGCAGCTGCAGACTGTGGTGGGAAAGTTCATCCTCTCCTGAGCAGGTCAGGAAGTTGGTGTTCAGTGTGATGGGGTGACTCATCCAAGGCTGCATAGCAGATGGGTGTCCATCTGAGTGCAGAGACCAGGCACTGGGACTCTAAGGTCTCAGCCCAGATTTTGCTCCCAGTTGCACAAAACCAAATTACATGGTAGCTCCTCTGCTTGCAGCAAGAGGCCTCTGGGTTTATGCCTGTTTCACATGCAAAATGCTGGGGTTGGACCCTCAGTTCTCTGCAATCGTGGTGTAGCAACCTGGGGGACTGGATTTTGCTCCCTCTTACTTAAAAAAACCCCACTTACTTCACTCCCTCCACCATAGGGAGGTATCCAGAGCAACAACACAGCAATCAGTACCTGTGGGTGTGATCAAATCCTTCCCACTGAGTTTCCTTTCTCCAAATGCTTCCCCCAGAGAACAGCTTAGGGAAAGTGTCTTGAAAGCCAGCTACAAATATGCCTAAATACGTAATATGCATTCACCTGATATAACCTCTGGGTTTGGAGTATTAAGGATGAGAGGATTGCTGGGTCAAGAATTGTATATCTTATTGGCTATTTCTTCAATTTCTATAGTAGTTTCTAACTTATTTCTATTTTGATGCTGAAAATACCCTACTGCAATGAGTTCAGCAGCTGAATTATGCAATGCATCAAAAGACCATTCCTATTTATTTCCTATTCAGTTTATACCTGCTACCTAATGATTTCTCTGGACACCTACTAACTCTTCTGTTAAGAGGAACAATGACTAATACTTTAGGTAATCTGTAGGGAGAGAATACCTTCAACAGTATTAATCCACAGGAGGACCCTCTCCTCTGATCTAACTGCAGCTTAGTTTCCCCGAGAGTCTTTAATAAGGGATCTTGTCCAATGGTTCTCCGAAGGCCACTCACCACATTCACCAGCATACCTTCCCCCACTCGTTGACTTGCTCTGAGAACTCCATAGCCACAACTTTCCTCCTAAAGGCCATGCATCTCTTGTGCAATCACATTATGTTCCTTCAAAGGTCTCTTAGCTCTAACTTTGCCGGTAGCACTGTGCTCATGAGGAAGTCACCCTTCCGGATCTGTGGCTCCTCGGATCCCTCAGGAAGCTCTATAAAATGCTCTTGTTGCCACTGCTCTGATAGCAGGGCAAACTGAAGTGAGAGGTTACACATCTCACTTATACCACCTGGTTCTGGCAACACACTTCTACTCCCTTTACCAATATGTTCTAAAACCTCATAGACTGACACTTCCCTTTGCAACAGGTCCTGGGACAGGTCAGCCACAGAGACCGGCTCTTCTGGGGGATCCTTCCTGAACACCTGATGTCATAGCAAGCAGAGGTGCAAAGGATGACTTGTGCTTTTCTGCTATGGCCTTGTGTTCCTTGGGTGACCCTTTAACACCACAGTCGACTCTCAGCCTGACAGGCTCTCTGACAAGCTTCCTGCTATGATTGTGTCTGAAAATATTTACTCTTAATTTTTTGGTCCTTTTTGAACTACTTCTCAAAAAAATTTGCTTTGGCTAGTCTTAGGGTTTAAATTTTCTTCTCAGTGGTTATTAGATTATAAATCTTCTTCAGAGGTTATTCTGTCTTCTTTGTGTCAGCAGAGGTTGGAGGGATTTCTGTGCTGAAATTATGCTGGGGTAAAACCAGGAGAAAAGGGAGACAAAGCCTGTTAGGAATGTTCAAGAACAGAAAGACAAAAGTGAATGGGTCACCTCATGCTCTCAGCACAGGCAGAACAATCTGCTACGTGTGAGACTAATTCACTAGCACATCCCAGGACAGAGAGGCATCTCATCTTCCCAAGCATGAGTAGTGGTTGCAATGACTCCAGTGGGGCCGGGGCAGGATTTTATCACCATAAGTAAAAGCGTAAGTTGACCTACAGTGCCCCCACGCTTGCATTCAAAATGTGACTGATCCAGCCACAGTCAAATGTGCCCTGGTGACCATTTCTGTGTTTCTGGCAGCATCATGTGTGACAGTGCTGGATATGTCCTCAAAGAGCATTTCTGTCTTCCTTTCAGGGCCACCTTGAGGAAGCTACGCCCAGAGGACATGTTTGAGACATGGGTAAGCACATGAGGGTGGGAAGCCTTGTGTCCCCTGCCAGCTTTCAACAAGGAACTGCTGCCCAACTCCAGTCTCTGGCTGGGCAAAACACTATCTTTCCTTCCTTGCAAAGCTACTTTCTCTCTTCTCGGAAGAAGGGAAGGCCTTGGCTGTGATGCCTAGCGCCTGAGTTCAAACAGTGTGCTCAAATGCTTTACTCAAGAGCGGTGGACATCTGAACTGGGTCCCATTTGCTCATAGATGGAAGAGAGAAAGCCAAGCAGTTTGCTAGGCAGGTGTTGGGCCTGTGTAGGGACCATGACAGAGCTGTGGAGGACATTCTGCTGCAGGATGCTCCATCTCAGCTAATGGGTATCAGTGTTGGTAGTGGGAAGATTTCAGAGGCCTGCTTGCTGGGTGAGCTGCACAGATCGTACGGATGTCTCATGGAAATTCATAGATTGGTTTGGGTTGGAAGGGACCTCAAAGATCATCTAGTTCCAACCCCCCTGCCATGGCAGGTACATCTTCCACCAGATTAGATTGCTCAAAGCCCCATCCAAGCTGACCTTGAACACTTCCAGGGATGGGGCATCCATGAATTTTCTGGACAACCTGTTTCAGTGTCTCACAACCCTCACAGTAAAGAATTGCTTCCTAATATTAAATCCTAATTCCTAAATCTAAATCTACCCTCTTTCCCCCTCACCCTGTCACTACATGTCCTTGTAAAAGTAACAGAGTAGTTGTACAATTCAAAATGCAAGTGAGGGCAGGCAGTACAGTTAATTATATAGATTTCAAAGCAGATCATGCATTGATTACACTTCTTATGGTGTATGCAAACTGCAAATCAGCAACTGTGAAGAAGTAACCAGCAGTTTAGCCCCTATCACACACTCTCCCTGGTCTGCAGGGTTGGGGAAGAGGGAAAGAGTGAAAATGAAAGAAAAATTGTGTATAACAAATTATCCCTTCACTGTGAATGAATACGATGTTAAAAGCTAGTCAGGGACCCTCAAGTCCCAGATGAACGCTGAAAAACATAGCTGAACAGGTGCTTTACAGGCACTAAGGAAGATGCAGTCATTCCTCCAGAAGGCTTGACATGTTTATAACAGCATATTCAGATGTCCCCTTCCTTGGCTGTTTAACATGAAATGCTGCAAGACTCTGAAGTGGCAAAAACCTTGGGAGTCTTTAATACAACTAGCAAGAGGTAATAAAATTGAACCAGGAGTTATGAGTCACTTAGGCATGATAGCTTTTCATTTTGTTTTGAAATACAGATTCTGTATAGAACATAGCTCCCAAGATCCATTGAAGCCCCTCCGAGGTTTTTAACGGAGCTTCAGTGAGACCCAAATTTCACTTTCAAACTGAACATATTCTAAATTAGCCTCAGGAAAAGTGTGAATTCACAGCAGTGGGACATTTCTTTACCAGCAGCCTGGGAATACAGAGCTTGCCTCCACTACAAGCAGGGGACTCATACCTACAGAAGACAGAGGGCTGGATTTTGATCTCACTGGAAGTTTACAACATGCTCAGTGCTTTCACTGGAGTTACTCCAGTTTTGTTTGCTGCCTTGGAGGTCAGAATAGAGCTGTGTTATAAATCTATATACATATAAATATATAGCATATATACATACATTTTATTTTACTGTCTGACAATACTGCTAGCAAATATGAAGAAAAAGTAACAGTGCAGATTTTGCCAGCTGTAAGTGGTCTGAATTCCAAGTAAATCTGCCCAGAATGTCCCAGTGAAAACATATTCCCTGAAGACATCCACAAAAGCTCAGCATCCGCTATTGTTTTTAAAGATAATGTTTTCCACTTAATCTTTCAGGGGCTTTTTCCCTTTCAGTTTTTGATGGTGGCTTTGTCACCTCTGGGCTCAGAAGGGAAAAGAAATTAGCATTTAGATGGGAATTTTTTCTTGCATTAAAACCAATTGAAATGGAAACCGGGACCGACAGCGGGTGAGGAAGGCGAAACCGATCCATGGGATAATTCAGAGATGACATTCATAGCAGGCGGATGATGAACCGGCCAGCAGATCCATTGGCCTTTGCCAATATCATTACCCATTACTCATGTGTCTCATGGAGAAAAGCAGCCTAGCAGGCTGTCATTTCTGTCCTCCACTCATTGGAGCCCTGAAATGAGCCCCCCCTCAATTCTTCTCACTGCTCATAGAGAGCCTCACCTAAAGCAGAGACCCTTCACCTCCCAAAAGTGGTCCAAATGAGCCACCTTTCCTCTCATATTGTGAGAAAACCTCCTTTGCTGGTCCCCGAGGAACATGTTCTGTGACTAAGCATGGTGGCAGATACTTGTTTCCCTGTAAACTATCCCCTGGGATCTGCAAATTGAGGAGGGTAGGTGGCCTCAGGCATGAATGGGAAGCCTATATTCCCATGCTAGAGAGCCCTTGTCCTTCTCTGCAGACGAACTTTTGCCCCATACCATCAGAAGCTCCCTCACCTTTGCCATCATGGTGCACACACATCATTTTTAACTGAAGACTTTCAGCAGCACTACACAAACTACCCACTTCAGCACCGAATACCTTCATGACTTGGCCTCACCTCAGCTTCCATTTCTGGCTTCTCAGTGGGGCTCCAGTCAAGCTTCCATTTGCAATTTTCCTGTTTGTTTGAAGGCATCCCACTGCTCTCAATCTCCAGCAACTGCCCGGACTCTGCCCTCCCTCCCTGGCCCATCAGTAATGGTTTTGTTGTTTCCAGGAGGATGACATGGAGGGTATCCACATCGTAGCCTTTGCTGAAGAAGACGACCCAGGTAAAAGGCTATTTTCTTCCTTATGTGACTCTCCATCCCTCAAGGAAGTGTGTTTTCTTGTGCTTTGTTTGCATAGTGGAGCCTAGCACCGTGACTGGGATGAGGAGCCCCAGCATGATGGTATGGGGAGCCAGGATGCTTCTGGGTGTTTATGCTAGCAGGTGTGCTAGCTGGGATTCAAATTTTGGATATAAATGGATGACTACCTGGGAAAAAAAGTCATCCCCTCCACCCAGCACCAGAATTTTCTCCCTAACTCTGCATCCATCTTGCTGTGTGAATCTGGGAAAGTGCTTAGGTCTGGGTGTGTGATAGGCATGTGGGAAACCAGAGGCCACAAACTCCTGAAAAGCCGTGGCATCAATGCGTCTCAGAGCCATCAGCATGTCGAAATGTTTTGGCCTCTTGGGGGCTCAGTTCCTCCCTCATCACAAGAAAATAGTGTCATTGTTCCACTCCATGGAAGGATTATGAGACTTAATTCATGTGTAACTAATTTCAATACCCGGGGAGGATGCCTGAAATTAAAAGCTTTATTATCGAAATAAAGCTCTGGGAGACAGCATTTTAATGAGAACTATAAACAACTCCTATGTGCATAGGGGAGCCAGGGAAGCTGGAAACCCCACAAGCAAAAAGTGCCAGTGCGTTTGTAGGAGAGAGTTACAGTGGTCCATGTGTCATTTCAGATGGTTTTGAGTTCCTGGAAATTCTGAAGCAGGTTGCCAGGGACAACACCGATAATCCTGACCTGAGCATTGTCTGGATTGACCCTGATGACTTTCCTCTGGTGAGTGGCAGAGGCTCCTTGCCTTTCTTGGTTTAATTTGTGGATGGGGTGGGGGTGGGGATGTGTGTGCATGTGCACACGCAAGTGCAGGAATTGCCCAGGGAATTTGGGACAGGGAAGGATGGGAAACTGGACCACAGGCAATCCCCTTGAGAGTTTGTTGTTTGGGTCTTTTGGGTCTGCCTCCCACGAAGGTGTTATCTTGGGAACATTCCCAGAGTTGGCATTTTCCTTTGCCAGGTGTGGCAACCCAAGCTTGTGTTCAGCCTCTCTTCTCTCCCATGCACTTGTCAATGCACATCCCTCACACTACAGTCCAGTTGACTAAACTAGTGCAAGGGGGCATTACGAACATCTTTTCCTGAGCTTTTTGTTTCTCACTCCTGCAGCTGATCACTTACTGGGAGAAGACCTTCAAGATCGACTTGTTCAGACCACAGATCGGGGTTGTGAATGTCACAGACGTGAGTAGTGTGTGCCCAGAAAATCCAGGGACTCCAAGATTAGGGTGCTAGAAAGGATTGGACTTGAGGTCCACTGGAATCAGTGGGATTTCTGCTCTTAAGTACACATAGACCAGGCTTTTGCCCTGGGAAAAAGTGCAAAGATCTCACCATTCCCACAAGCAGTGGAGTTCTTAACAGCTCCAATGTCCAGCTTCAGGGCTTTGGTCTGAGTGTGTTTCTGCTGCTGAGTCACACACAAACTACATTTACTGAAGACAGGACCAGCCCCTGTGGCCTAAGATTCAGGGCTTGCCCAGTTTAGGTTTCAAGGTCTCACATTTCCACCCCAAATCACAGCATGAACCTTTATCCATTCCCTGCTGTGACAGCCTGTGTGGGATTGCAGAGGAAAAGTGTGTGTAGGGAGAAAAGAAAGCCATGCTTAGGGAAGAGAAGAGGAGAAAAAGGAGGTTGTTTTTGCAGCAGAAGCAGAATGGCACAGCTTGAGCGTAGGAGGGAAAAATGGTCTCCAACAGATGACAGGGAGAAACTGTACAGCTTGAAAAAAACTAAATAAACACACAGTTTTAATAAAAGTACAGCATAAACTGGTAATCGAGGGATCCTGCTGTGGTAAAGAGGGTGTGCTGGGATTCATCCAGGCCCTCCTCCTTCTCAGCCACTGCCACGTAGATAGTGCTGGAGGGATTTGGGTGGGAAGAGGAGACCCACCCGAGCCATACCTGGTGGTAGTAAAGGGTTTCCACACCGTCCCACAGCCAGCAGCACTGCAGAGGGAGAGCTGCAGAGGGAGGTGCTGCTTTGGCACAGCTGCAGTAGTGGTGGTACCCACAGCACCCACAGCCCTCACAGCTGTGCTACTGAGCCAACTTTCTAGCAGCTACTGTTTTAACTATGGTTGCCTTCAAGCCAGCAATCCATGGGACTGACATCAGTTTTTAAGGCAGGTGGGAGAGGGACCCATTTGACCCTCACCAGCAGAGATCTCAGGAGAGTTGCTGAGTGCAGTATAACATGCTTCACAGCCCTAATATGACTACAGAGAGAAACTGTTTTCTCCTCAGCCTGACCATAGCAGTCCAGATGATCAGAGAGCACATAAAGCAGCATGCTGCAGCCTGGTTCACTTATTACCTGAGTTTATTTTTGGTGGTTAAGTGCTGGGTGTTTTAACCTCTTAAAAATGAACCTGTGTGGGTATGTAAGAGTCTCTGGAAGCAGAAATCTCTCCACTGCAGAAGTAAATTGGTGCTTGACTTCGTGTTTGCAATTTCAGTGTATGTGAACTTGATGTTTCATTAGAAGAGAGCAGAGAGGGATTTAAGAGTTGGGACAAATGTCTGGGGCTGGGTGCTGGTTCTGGCACCACACTGACCCTGCTTTCAGCCTTCACATCCTCTCTCTTGTATCACCCCAGAAAAAGAGGAACAGCAAGTGTGTACTGGACGGTTGTGCCTATGGTTAAAGCAGATGCTGTAAGACCATAAGATGGGAGATGGGATGGTGAAGGCAAAGTGATGGTGTCATGAAGAAAGCAGAGCCCCTGGATATTGCCCATCCCATTGATGGGGATGAGAGGCTGACTTGGGAGTCACTGAGTGGTTGCAGCGCTGGCTGGATGTGAGCTCTTTACCGTGAAGACCCAGTGATTTAAGCCCTGTTAGCAGAATTGTTAAGGGAGAGGCAAAAGGGAAGGGGACCAAGATAGCACCTGTCACTTCAAATCATAAGAGGAATGAACAGATAAGCCAAAAATAGAGCCCAAGTCTTCCAGTCTTTTGACCTTCTCACTAATCTGCAGTACCTTCCTTCATTATATTTACTGTGACTGGTCATGTTTAAGTCATGTCAAAGCTACATTAAACAGAAATCAATGGAAATTCATGGAAGTGGGATGTCAGAGGCATGAGAATCATAAGGAGGCATGAGAATCATATAGAAAGCAGTATTAAGTAAGAACATATGCCTTATTATTCAGCAGTCACTCAGAGACCTGTAAAAACTCATGCATTATCTGGCTTTGATATAGTAAATGTTTCAGGTTGTTGATTATAGTATTTGCACTTTTTATTTCATTCCTCTTAAGTCCATTTTTTATTTCTCGAGAGAGGTTTAAGAAAGTTCTAGGTTGGTAGGTGATAACTAAAACAAACATTGAGCTCATTTCATTATTTCAGTGTTACATCACAACATTCAGCCAAGTTACACAGGTACAAAGTGGGGCTTACACAACAGAGTAAAAATAAACACTGCTGTTGGCTTCTGTGGACATAACCCCTGTGACCCTACCTCTTCTCTAAAAACCTGCCAAAACAAACACTGGAGCTCCCAGCTGCCCCAACTGGCTCATCACATTGTGGTGGCTCAGGACTTAGGGCCATGATGCTCTGCTCTGCAAAATATCACTGCTTTATTTGCACAGCATCTTCTCTAGGTAAAATGGGGCCACTCCTGTTCCCATTATTTAAATGCGTCACTTTTTTCCACACAAATATTCCTGAAGTTAAGGACAAGATCATTTGTGTGAAGCAAGAGCTGCATGCCTCTCCACTGTTATTTTTTATTTCAGTTTTGGTAGTTTAGGAGGAAAATACTGTATGGGAGAAATAGCTTTCCCTGAGTAGAAATTGGTCTAGAGTTTTAGCAAGCCATAAACCAAAGAGAATTAGATACCACAGACAGGGAAAGAAGTTGGATGCATTTTCAAAAGCTGGTAGTTTTCTTCTGAGATATGAAGATCACTTGCTTCTACAACATCAAACACTGAATGAGATAACCTCGCAGCACCTCTGCAAAATAGGATGCTGATCCTTTTTTATGGAAGGGATACAGTGAAGGGAAAGGGGCTGACCCAGGTATTTACCCAAGGAACCTACAGCAAAGCAGAGAGGAAAATCCTGATTTCCAGGCCTCAGAGACCATTCAAGCTATGCTTGCTGTCCCTGGGTAACAGTCATAATTTAGTCATCATCACCCCCATCCGCTCTGGTTTGTGGAGGTAATGCAGACAGCTGGAGGGAAAGAGCAGGGGCACCAGACCATTGGTGGTTTTCACGATTCTTCAACTGTAGCATGGCTGAGATGATCTGAGGAAAGGGTCTTCCAAGAGGAGGAACCACTATCACAAGTGGAGAGTCCAGAAAACAATCCTGAAGCAAAGGTGATGGTAAAAGTTTGGGGAGAAGGAGTGATGACAGAGGGATATAAAAGCTCAAAGGAAGAGGTCCCAAAAGGGCTCGGGATGGAAGGAGGGAAATGCTGTGATGTCCTATGAACTGGGGCAATGCGGGGGAAACTGGTACAGTTGGTCTCTTTTAGATCTGTTTATGTAGACTGGGGAGTCTACAGATCTCCCCAGACAGAGTGAGGACAATGCATCGGGTAGACAATGCTCTTGTTCACAGGTGTAGGCAGTGCAGGAGAGGAACAGGCAGCAGTCACACATCTCACCCAGGGCACACAGTACCACACACCCACTTAAACCCATTGACCAGTCCCACTGCCCCTGGCCAGGTACAACAACACTACAGAGAGAAGCGGTAATCCCAGTGCATAGGCCGAGAGATGCCTTGGTTGAGTGGGCCCACAAGCTGTGGCAAAGAGGGAGCTAATGCCGCCACCAACCCTGTATCCCACCCATGGTCCAATCCTTACTCCTACAATAGTAGTGAACCCTATCTCTTGCCTGTGTCTCTGAGGGCAGCTAATCCCCCATCACCTGTCCCTGCAGGCTGACAGCATCTGGATGGACATCAGAGATGATGATGATCTGCCCACAGCTGAGGAGCTGGAAGACTGGATAGAAGATGTGCTTTCTGGGAAGATAAATACTGAAGATGATGATGATGATGACGATGACGACGATGATGATGACGATGACGATGATGATGACGATGATGATGACGACGATGATGATGATGACGATGATGACGATGACTAACTGTGACTCTGTGCAGTTTGACTTGAGGGGCCCGAGAGCCCTCCCCCTGCGGCAGGTCCCTCCATCGGAAGGCCTGTGTTTGAGCAAGCACCGCTGCTCCTATTTGCCCCCTGCCCTGCTCCCCCTGTCCCTGCCCTTGCCAGGACCCCCTGGCCTGATTCTCAGCGGTGCTGAGCCACCGGGACTGCCCCTGCGGTGGGCAGTGGCTGCAGGCACCCAGCACCGCTGCAAATCATGCCTCCTTAGTAAGGACAATAGGAATCTGCAGGGAATCTGCCCCGAGTGTCCCAGGGCAGGAGAAAAGTGCCTGCCTGCTTGCTGCCAGAGGGACGCAGGGAGCCAGTTTGTGTTTTCCATGTTCATCAGCCCAGCACTTAACATCCAAAGACCAAATCTCCCTTCAAGACATTGAGAAGGCCACTGTAAAGTTTAGTCCTTTTATTAAACACAATGCCCTTTGCAGATACTCTGCCAAGACCACTCAATCCTGCAAGTCCTGCTGTGGGAGTCCCTAGCTAACGCTAGGAGCAGCAAAATGCTTTGGGAGGGGCGGAAGGTTTTAGGGATGCTATTAAAGTTTTCAGTGATTCCACATAACAACAGGATATTCTTGTCTGGCAGTGTGATGCAAAACCAGGTACCATGCCCTCTGTCTGAACCTGTTTTCTTGAAAGCTTGGGCCATGGCCGGGGAAGTGCAGATGGTCTGATAGGAGGCATAAAAGCTCGCAAGTTCCTGAACTGCTGGAAAGGCTGATCCAGGTCTGAGCCCAATCTGAGTCCAAACTCTTGAGTTTGAAGACCATGGCACTGAGTCAAGCCAATGGAAACATCTGTGGGGGTCCACCCTGAAGCTCTCCTATTCCCCATGACCTTCTGGCTTTAGCTGACTCTTCACTTGAAGCCCACGTAGCATCTATTCCCATGACCAAGATGTTGAGAGGGAACACACCCATCCAACTACATTTGATATTGGATGAGGTACGTCGGGCAATGAGCGGCGAATAGATTCAAGTTGTTTGGCTTTAAGTATTTAGTTGCACAGTTACTCCCTGCTTAGAGACTCAGATGTCCCACAGTAGCCTGCGAGAAGCATCTTTTGACTGCAGGAGCTCAGGGTTTCAGTTTGCAGTCAAGGGGGTCGCTCACAAAGCAAAGGGTCTGCAACACAGTCCTGGTGAGTGCAGCACCATCCACATGCCGGTCACTGTGGCAGCATTAAATCTCCCTGCTTTCCCATGCCAGCAGATTTCAATTGTCTTAGCTTATTAGATTTGACAATAGTACAACGAACAGAGAGTTCGGAGATAGTTTTATCTCTATATACACATTTATAAGGATGTTCTCTGGTTGTTCAGACTTGTTAGCATAGTAGGGTATGCATCTCCTTTCTTGCTACAGATGGAAAACATTGTCCTGACCGTTCTTTTACTGGCTTACATCAGAGGTAAGTGATATTAGGGGGAATAACAGTGTGAGGGACAGGAGAATCAGAGCTCATTACACAAATGTGAATCAGCCTGATGAGAAACAAGGTTCACACACTATATATTTCCTTTATCAGATGAACCACAAAGCAAGATTTTATAGATTTTTTTTTTCTGCCTGTTGATCAGTCTCTTTGACTCTCTCTCTACATTAGCTGAAATAGAAATTTGAAACTACTGCTATAAAAAAGCTAAAGTATTGATATATTCCTATGTATGCCATATCCCTTGGTAGAAAATGCCAGTATGAACAACACATGGCTGGATATCTATATAACTCTATACATATGAATGAATACTGTGCTAATATGGTATATGACTGTAGGCCAAGTTAGCTCCTCATTGAATATAAAACATTCAACATGTGCTTTTAAGACACAGCTATTAGAAGAATAGACAAGGTAGCAAAGCCCCCAGGCCAACTTTTCATGCTTTCTTGCTTCCTTATGATACACAAGCACTGCCTGGAAGACGAACCAACTTTGTTTGGGGAAACCATTCACCTGGTTGCTCTGGGGTGACAAACAACTTTCAAAAGCCTTGAAATGCAGAGTGCTCTCAGCATGGAGGTCCCCTTCTCCTTTTCTCTCATATCTGCCTCTCTCCTGGCCAACAGGGTGTCCAGCACTCTCCTTCTACTCTTTCCTTCGAGCTCTTTCCTCAAGAGGTTTGCTGGAGGACTCTGGCTCAGAGAGAGAGGGAGCAGGCAGGACTCAAGGTCTCATTCATGCACACTGGTAAAGAGCAAGAAGAGGCAAAACTGGCCATCTAGTGGTCTCCCAGTCTGCAATTAAGGGACAACTACTCACCTGAGAAAAGTACATGCTTATTTTTACCTTGGGGATATTCCCAGGAGTTAAACATGCCCAGTTTCACCCCGCACAAGGCAACAGCCTGCACAGGCCCTGCAGCTCCATAGCAGTCACTCTAAACACGAAGAATAAATGAAGAGCTGCTCTATTGCCTTTCCTAACTAGCACAGTCTCCGGACATCTCAACTACCTGCATACTTTCCATGTAGCTCCCCTCCTGCTGTGGATGCCTGTCTATTCTAATGTGCCCTTCTCCAGACGCACTGAGAGGCACAGCTTACCCAGGCAGAGCAGGCAGACCCTGCAAATGATGCTATGGACACGTTCAAGTGCACAGGTGTTTCACAGGCATTTATATGTTTCAAAGCAACAGAGCTCTGGGGGGAAAATAGAATAAATAATGTAGAAGTGTAGAGGTTGAGCTCATACGGGGGCTGGTGGACTGGTGCCAGTGTTTTATGGACAGTTTCCCTTGAGTTACGAAAGGGCTAATGCTACAGCTGCCACTCCTTCGTGGTGCCAGTGAAGTCCTTGATGGGGCTGCCCTTTCTTTCTTGCCTCATCCCCCCAGTACAATTTTCATCATTCTCTTTGCCCACAAACAGGAACTGTTTATTATCAGTTTTTAGGACAAACACATGAAAAGTTAAGAAATGTTGCAGCAGAGGAAGGATTCCTGCAATGAGGATGGGTGGGCAGCAAACCCATTTACTGTAACACTTCATCTGCCCCAAGATCCTAGTGACCAAACTGCTGAATGAGGCAATACCTCTTGTGAAGGAGATGGCAGCTTAAACTTGAGTGACTTCCTTGCAGGAATCGGTAAAACAGTGGTATGGGGAGGACACACAGGACTCCAGGCACAGGTATTCCTGGGCTCCTCTGTCAGAACTGTACAACTGGCATTTGAAAGGCAGTGGTGGCCTTGAGGAACTAAGCCTAACTCCCCCCACTCTACATTGAGAAGCAAAAGGTTGATTTGGATGAGGAACCTGCAAAAAACCCTTAATTAAAAAAAAAAAAAAAAGAAATTGTGTGCATGGGCAGCACTGAGTGTTTCCGCAAGCACATCTGTTAAGACTGTCCCTCTCTTCAAGAATAGTTCTTTTTCTCCAGCATGTTAATTAGACATATTAAATGAGTCTTAACACACAAAAAGACAAGTAATTGGATTTTTTCCTCATCGAACTGTAAGTACTTCAAGCTGATCAGTTACTTCATAGAATCATTCAATCATTTTTGTTGGAAAAGACCCCTAAGATCCTTGAGTTTAACCATTAATCCACCACTGCCAAGTAAGTACCCAAAATAACCCAAAAGATAGTCTTACCAGCCCCCAATGACAGTAAGGACACCCCCCCTCCCAAGTGATACATGGCAAGAACACCAAGTCATACACCACCACCTCCTCCCAGTCACCAGACACGGGGCCAGAGGCCACAGTCAAGGGATTTGTTTGGTGTGCTGTACCACAGGCCACCCTGTGCTGCTCATGGGTAACAACCAAGGCAGATGGAAACCCACTAGGAGCTACATCCTGCAGCTATCATACTGCAGCATGGAGGAGAAAGTTTCTGCAGTGGGCCCAAGATCACTGATGTAGAGGCTCTGTGAACCCGAAACTGCTCTGAGCTTATGTCAACCATTTGAGAAACAGCTCCAGAAGGAGGGAACAACAGAAGAAATTTGGAAACAGCAGATTACTCCACAGTTTCAGGGTCAGCGGTTTCTGTGATGTTTCTGAGAAGTTTTGAGGCTCCTGTGTCTCCCCTGGGAGAGGAATGGACCCATAGTGAAACCAGAGATCTTGGCTGCTTCCCATCCCAAAACAAAGCTGCTCAGCCAGACACCAACATGAACATGGAGCTGAGGACACCAGCTGCTTCTTCGTGTCTGTCTGCACATCATACCTAAAGAAATGATTGATTCATTACAGAAACCAAACAAAAAACATCATCTTTTATTCCCAGGAAAATAATTAATTAGACAGGAACATATCACTTCCCAGCTGCCACTGACTTGCAGTCCTGTGAAAAGAGGCCAAGATTGCATCTGGCTTCATCTCCACTGCAGCAAAGCTTTGAGCTTTGGCTTTGAGGAAGTCTCACACAGAGCCAGTTGCACACCAATGCCTGGACCTGGGGGTCTGAAGAGGAGGAGCAGGTAAACAGGCAACAAGCACTAAGGCCCTCCGAGACAAAGCACCCTGCCTCCTGGCTGCTTTTACACTCCAGGTATGTCTATGCCATGCAGTGCAAGACCATCTGCTAGAAACTGGAAGCAGCAGAGAGCAGCAAGCAGGATAATTAACCTCAGTAATGAGGCTGCACCAGCAGGACTGTGTGCTGCCTGAGACCCAAGACTGTGTGTGTCAACCCACTGCGCTGCAGCATCCCCTGCTCCCTTTTTGCCACTCCCTTGTACCACTGGCATCTAGCAAAGCAGTCCTTCGATGGTCAGTACCCCTGAGGGACAGCCATGGGATGGCTCTCATACCTGTTTGGCAGAAGATGCTGTCTAATGATGACGCAGATCATGAGGCAGGTCCAGTGCAGAGCCAGGCCTCTCGGCCCAGCTCCCTGAACACTCTCTGCCAGGTTTAAAAGGTGCTAAACTATTTAAAGGAAAAAAAAGCTATAGAACTTTCTTGCAGCTTGAAGATCCATTTCTGGAATCAGATTACAAACGGAGATGGAAGCAAAGATCCTTCCGGTGCCTCACTCCCCCCTCGTGCTTTCTCTTGCCAAGCCCCTGTCAAAGGGCATTGTCCCTAATGTTATGGAAAATAAGAAGAAAACAAGCTTTTTCACCTTCTTTTCATCCTTCTTGAATTTCTACTC